TTCTTGAGGTATCCCAATTCTTTATTAATTTAGTTATTACATTTTTCGTACTTTAATAATACGTGTAAGAAGTGTTACGGCGCTCTCGACACTATATTTCGTGGCATCCCTGAAGTATCCTAGTGTGCCAACCCGGATGAAAACCACTGCACTAAGGCAATACCCAGTTTTGTTATTCGGCATGGAAGCAACAGTATCGATCAACTTATACGAGGAATAGGAATGAAACATCGACCTAAATAACTGTAAATGATTTCAATAGTACGTATCGGATTTAAAACTGAATTCGCCATCATCGACACTTCAATAAACTATCCAGCAATAAATTATCTGTTACCTTCCCGATTGTTAAATCACTTATTTAAAATTCTAGTCAGTTAAAGTCACAATAGAGTAAACCAGTCTAACTAAAATTAAAATCTAAACGATTTTTTAGAATTTTAATTACGCGTACATGTCGGAATTATTAAAACTTTAATAAATAATATAAGTTTCGGAAGTGTCTATAAATTAGTTTTTATACCCACTTATAATAATCTCCTACGAAACTTACATAATGACATCTTTTATTAAAGATTTACAACTCTAAGCATTACATATTCTTGCAACTTTACAGAATATGGTTACGTGTATCGGCTAAACGATCGGACCGATATTTCCAAAGCGTGACAATACAAATCTACAAACGTTATGACATCCAATTATGAATACAGATAATCCAGTGTAATTCTATTATTTTCTCATAAAAAGCGCATGTAAAATGATGTTATCGTCAAATGAACTGTAGAAAGGCAAACTGGGATGGCTGTTTACATTGTCACGGTTGTTTTTCGTTCAGATTCATTTTTCGTTCAGGTTCAATTCAGGTTATAAACGTTCGGAGTTTATAACCTGAATTGGCTGTGAGGTAGTCTACCGAAAAGATTTTTTCGGATTGAAGAGACATTCACTAAATCAAAATTACTAAAACGTGTTAGTCCTTATGATATATGTTACGTGGAGATTTTGTAGAACCTTCCACTGATCAGTTTACTACCAGATACAAAGACAGTCAACAGATTTCTTACAGAATCATACTGAACAGGTTTTATTATGAGAAGCAATTACATATTAAAAAGTACTATACATATCTGTATAAAATATATATGAACAAACAGAGCAGATCACATGTACTGTCCTCATCTCGAATGAACGAGGCAAGAAGCGATTAGCGAAAGTCTTTAAGGCGGTACTTTACTTATTTGTTTTTATATTGTACAATGTTTCCCATTAGAGAGTATTCAGACTATGGAGCAAGGATGTTCACACCTTTTCAGTTTAGTCCCTATTGTATTTTGGGAGGATATGAAAGTACGAGTAACATGACTTGCAAATATACTGTATTCACTGATTATTCGATAGATCAATAAAATTAATAATATACAGGAACGGATCGAATGGTAACTTCATGGACTGTTGACGTAAAAAAGATTAAAATTTATTTGTTCAAACTTTAAAATATTTATGATGGCAAATACAGTTTTTCGTGCTATCCGCAATACAATCGTCTTCACTTGTTAATAAAAGGTATTAATTATTCAAATATCTTAAATTTTTGAGCTAGCCCCTTTTAGGTATTCTTGGATCCCAATGAATATATATAATCCTGCTAATGATGATATAAGAATGCAAACCAATATGTACAGTAAGAACAGTAAAAGTGTCGTGATGATGAATTTCAACATTTCTAAATGTGTTATGAGTTACTTAGACATGAAAAAGTGAAGAGAATCGAACATGATTAGCAACACTCTGGTTGATCTTGTCAATTCAGATAAGGAAGCATAATGTAGTTATCCCGAGGGTGCTCACTTAAAGAATACCCGACTGTATTATAATGAAAACGAACTTTAGTTGAATGCAATCGATGTTATAACCCGTATACAATTGTTCATGTTTAAAAATTATTCATGCCAGGAACTATAAATTTCGAGCTAATAACTAACTGTCTAATTTTTATTCAAATAACATTACAAAAATAAAGTTTCGAGGTCGCACGTCACTATTTGTCAAAAATGCAATAGTTGGATTGACTTTTATTATCAAATTATATGTCAGTTTGAGAAGTTAAATTATTTCTATTTGATTTTAAAAATGAAATAAAATAATAAAATATTCAGAGCTCGCTTTTATTGTAAATTAACAAAAAATATATAAATCATTAAAATATACAAAATCATGTTTTTAAAAATTATTAATAATAGTGTGTATATATTTTAAGTCATGCCAAAAAATTAAAAATATGAATTGACTGCATCCGAGCCATTTCAAATTATTATGGATTAGCGAATAAATTAAATTGATATAATAACTGTCTTTTATTAGCGGCATCAAAGGAATTCATGACTCGAAAACGTATGCAATCTTACGTTAATGTATAGGCTCACTTTAAAAATTAATACTATTAATCCTACTTTATAAACTCTTTCTCCAAATATTTCATGGTTAGCGATATTTTGCAAATTTTAGAATAATAATAATTGTCTTGCTTAATTTCAACAATAATTAGACTGCAATTTGAAAATTGCAGACTTATAAATTTCCACTGGCGTCCGTCTATCTGTATGTCTGTCTATCCTTTCTTAGTCTCGAAAAAAGTTAGATAGATGAAAAACGTGACCAGATATGGATATCTTAGGGGCAGGAAGTTCCTAAGATATCCATTTTGGTTTAGACCGAAAGAGACGTTATTTTAATTCAAACATTTTTTTCCAGAACAGCGTTAGATAGGCTATATGACCGGCATGACTCCATTGTTAAAGGGAAATGTATGATGTACAGTACAGGGGCAAGACACTACTAAAATCGAAGCCTATATTTAAATTAAAATAAATTTAAAATATGATTAAAAGTTGGTTGCAGCCTAGCATTGTGACAATGTCACAATAAATAATTGCTCGTATTTATTTTGTAATTTAATAAAGTTATTTTAGATACATAAACATTTATTTTCTATCGAATTTTTTAAAACATCAGTTAATGCAGAAATTAAATTATTACTATTTCTAAATCCACTAAAACGATATTTTAAAGCATGATAAATATATTCATTTTTCTCAAAGATTAATTATAATTAACACAGATTTAAAAATATATACATGTTACATGCTCTTGCATACAGTAATACCTCGACTTACGCTACCTCGACTTACGCGACCGGAGTTATGAGATTTTCAAATCTCGTCGATTCCTCTTTTGTTTGAGCGCCACGCAACTCTTGATTACTCACTCCCCCCATACTATTGTTCAGCTTACATGTTCGGACGTGTAGCGCAGAATCGACACATAGCTACAATTTATTTTGTGTTATTTATTTCTGTGTTTGTTATATCTACGGAGACTTGAGAGACTCTACTATGTCATCCAAACTAGGTAGAACTGATTCTTCTGCATCAAACAAAAAAAGAAAAACTTTATCTTTGGAATGTAAAGTTAACATTATTAAAGACTTCGATACAAAAATGAAAATTTGTGAATTGGCAAAGAAGTTTGATCTATCGGAATCGACGGCCAGAACAATTATAAAAGGTAAAGAAAAAATTCTCGAAGCTGTGAAAAATGCTCAATCTTTAAATTCAAGCATCATTCGTAAACTTCACGGTATTATTGCTGAGATGGAAACAATGTTAAAATTATGGTGCTATAATCAAGTAAATGTGAAAAATTGTCCTGTTGATCAGAACACAGTGTGCTCTCAAGCTAAGCTGGTTTTCAAGAGATTGAAAGAGGATGCTGGAGAGGTGGCTAAAGATAAAAAGTTTAAAGCTAGTAACGGTTGATTCAGCCGATTGAAAAGTCGCTGTAATTGGCATAGCATTGTAGAAAGTCGAGAGGCGGCAAGTGCTGATAAAGAGGCTGCGTCTTACTATCCAGAGAAATTCAAAGCTATGATAGATGAAGGCCAAACCATATTCAACGTAGATGAGACTAGCCTGTTCTGGAAAAAGATGCCTAAAAGAACGTTTATCACGCGTGAAGAGAAAACCTTTCCAGGTTTTAAGGCCGCCAAAGATCGATTGACAGTAATGGTTGGCGCGAATGCAGCTGGTGATTGTAAGTTAAAACCTTTCTTAGTTTATCGCTCGGAAAATCCAAGAGCATTCAAAAAAAATTCTAAAGCTGGCTTGCCTGTGATTTGGAAGTCGAATCGTAAAGATTGGGTGTCAGCTTCCCTTTTTGAGCACTGGTTTGGTCATCACTTCATACCTGAAGGCGAACGTTATTGCCAATCTAAACAAATTCCATTTAAAGTGATGCTAATAATCGACAACGCACCAGGTCATCAAATCTAAACAACGAGCTCTCTGTTAAAGACTTTTGGAAACATTTTTTTTTTCTAAATTATTGTTTTCTTTAGTCTCCGGTCCCAATTAAAAATAATTTGTATGTATTTGTATGCGAAATTATACCCCGACTTACGCGAATTCGACTTACGCGGATATCGCTCGGTCCCACCTATCGCGTAAGTTCGGGATATTACTGTATTTATTTTTTATAATGATTTTTTAGTATGCTAGATAAGTGTGAGAATTTTTTTAATTATTCAATACATACATTTAACTCTCTTATGACGTATTCTCAAATTACGCGATGATTTCTAGGAACCACCTACACGTATTAAATTTATAAACAATACCAAGAACTAATCATCAGTCCGCATAAATAGATACTGTAAAAATTAAGAAAATCAAGTAGAAAGATATGAATTAATTTACACAATATAAAATTTTATTTTCTATAAGTTACAAAATACAACTGCTGACAGCATTTCCAACATTCAGTGTAAAATAAAATAAATCTTATTAAGAAAATATCGTTAGATTTTAAAACTAATTTAAAAATTAGTATCGATAAACAATTGATAACAAATAATTCATGTTNAATTAATTAAATTTAAATATACAAGAAGTATATCATGTATTAATAAATTTATCAAAACTTTATTTATTTATTTTTTTTACCTATTATAAACAATACTTCGACTAGAATATCTGCAATTATAGTTTTGCTGTAACGTCTCATATCCTGTTTTTCCTCTAGAGCATTATCATCTCGATTATGAAAAGCAGCACTATACGGTACAACAACAGCTACATCAAAAGTAGCAAATAAAATAAGCCAGTCCCAACAAGTTTTAAAAATACCATAATGTGAAATAATAAACCTGGATCGTTTTAAGGCTGCTGTCTTGTATTCAGGTAAGGCTGTTGTATGAAGCAGTTTCTGTAGAAGAGAAAGAATTTCTAATGTTAATTTCGATTATTATTTTTATAATTTTTTTTATGTTTTCCTTTTTTTAATTAAATTTCTTAAGTAAAGTGCATACTGTACATTATTTAATTTTAATTTTGTTTTCATTTTATCTTGCCTATAATGACCGGATAACTGATAGAGAACCGCTCTACTTCTTCTTCTTTGATTATGAGAGCCAGGAAGACATCCTTCTTCAGGATCTAAGTTACCATTTGCATCTATAGAAAAATGAGAGAAANTTTGGTCATCACTTCATACCTGAAGGCGAACGTTATTGCCAATCTAAACAAATTCCATTTAAAGTGATGCTAATAATCGACAACGCACCAGGTCATCAAATCTAAACAACGAGCTCTCTGTTAAAGACTTTTGGAAACATTTTTTTTTTCTAAATTATTGTTTTCTTTAGTCTCCGGTCCCAATTAAAAATAATTTGTATGTATTTGTATGCGAAATTATACCCCGACTTACGCGAATTCGACTTACGCGGATATCGCTCGGTCCCACCTATCGCGTAAGTTCGGGATATTACTGTATTTATTTTTTATAATGATTTTTTAGTATGCTAGATAAGTGTGAGAATTTTTTTAATTATTCAATACATACATTTAACTCTCTTATGACGTATTCTCAAATTACGCGATGATTTCTAGGAACCACCTACACGTATTAAATTTATAAACAATACCAAGAACTAATCATCAGTCCGCATAAATAGATACTGTAAAAATTAAGAAAATCAAGTAGAAAGATATGAATTAATTTACACAATATAAAATTTTATTTTCTATAAGTTACAAAATACAACTGCTGACAGCATTTCCAACATTCAGTGTAAAATAAAATAAATCTTATTAAGAAAATATCGTTAGATTTTAAAACTAATTTAAAAATTAGTATCGATAAACAATTGATAACAAATAATTCATGTTATGATACATAAATGGAGAATTTGTAAGAAATCCTATATTATTTATATAAGAATAGCACAACCAAAAAATAGTATATTTCTTTATGATTTGTGTCTAATTAATCACACACGAATCATAAAGAAATGTGATATTTTTATACAAACGATAGTCTTATTTATAAAATAAGACATTCGTTTGAAATTCTCTTGAATGATTGCTATTCAAATTTTTAAAATATAATAAAAATGAATTGTAAAATCACTGAAAATTGCTAAATGAAAGTAATCAAAATAATATTTTAATTTAACAGTTAAATGTACTGTATAACAAAATAACTAGGTAAAAAAGAGAGATATCTAACTTTATACTTTTCCAACAAATTTCCGATAATCGTGTGACAAATTTCATTAATCAACAAGAAACTAGATATTTAATTATTGCTAGTTGTGGTAAAAAATTTATGAGTAAAAGTCGTTTCACTGTCACAACACACGAGGAAAACTTTCTATTTTGTCCATGACGATCAACAAATTAAGTACAAACTTGTAAGAGACGAAGGTAATCTGAAAAATACATTCTGAAATCGGACAGAGTGATAACGAAAAAGATATTTAAAAATGGCATGCATTCATTTTTCAAAATATATGCATAATGATTCAACGATTAGTGTTTACTAAAGCAACGTTTATAATGAGCCTACGTAAATGCTTTCCGCTGTTTGATGATATGAGTACTACTTTGCCTCATTCTCTTATTAACTAATCAAAGTTTTGAATGATATTCGGGATGACAGGAAGCTTGTGCATATGTACAAAATGACATGAATATCTAAGATATACTACGGTGATTATATATTTATGGATTATTGCAAAATTATTTATAATTTTACAATAATCCTGAAGAATGGAGAATTTTGAAAAATTTAAGAAATGATAATAAGAGAACCAATACTATTCAGTATATATCAATAAATAAATGGAAGGATTATTTTAATAACCTTTTAACAGAAAACAGAAATGAATATATGATTTATAATACAGAGAATGATGATGTACGAGATAATATGATAGATAGATATGAAACGTTTTAAAAGTATAATTAAATCTTTAAAAAATAATAAAGCTAGTGGCATTGGTGAAATACCAGCAGAGCTAATTAAGTGTAGTTCTGATAGGTTACTCAGAATAAGCAAAAACTTAATGGAAAGGTGTATAAATGAAGATATCCCACAAGACTGGAAAGTTGGATATCTGTNTATGTACAAAATGACATGAATATCTAAGATATACTACAGTGATTATATATTTATGGATTATTGCAAAATTATTTATAATTTTACAATAATCCTGAAGAATGGAGAATTTTGAAAAATTTAAGAAATGATAATAAGAGAACCAATACTATTTAGTATATATCAATAAATAAATGAAAGGATTATTTTCATAACCTTTTAACAGAAAACAGAAATGAATATATGATTTATAATACAGAGAATGATGACGTACGAGATAATATGATAGATAGATATGAAACGTTTGAAAGTATAATTAAATCTTTAAAAAATAATAAAGCTAGTGGCATTGGTGAAATACCAGCAGAGCTAATCAAGTGTGGTTCTGATAGTTACTTAGAATAAGCAAAAACTTAATGGAACGATGTATAAATGAAGATATCCCACAAGACTGGAAAGTTGGATATCTGTCATCAATATACAAAAAAGGCAAAAAAGATTAGTGTAAGAATTACAGAGGTATTACTGTTACATGTACTGTACATTCAGCAGGATATATGGAAAATTATTAAAATATTACTTAGAAGAGGAATACAAAGATATGGAAAATGAGAAACAAGCAGGTTTTAGGAGTGGAAGATTCACACTTGATCATATTTTCTGTGTTAGACAAATAATCGAGAAAAAAGTTGCTAGAAATCAAAATCCACATTTATTTATTGACTTAGAAAAGGCATACGATAGTATATCAATTAAAAAATTATGGCAAGTATTGGATAACACAGCAATAAATAGGAAAATAATAAATAAAATATTTAAAAATTGTCATAACTCTATTGTTAAAATTAAAATAGCAACAAGATTATCTAAAGGATTTCTGGTTACTAAAGGTTTACGCCAAAGTTGTTGTATTTCCCCAACATTATTTAAAATTTTCATTCAAAAGGTTATGGAAATATGGAAAAGAAAATGTAGTAGTATGGGTCTAATGGTTGGAGACAACACTATATACACATTATTATTTGCAGATGACCAATTAGTTATAGTTGAAGATTATGATGATTTAACATATATGACAAGAAAGCTGAAAGAAGAATACAATAACTGGGGACTAAATATAAATACGGGAAAAACTAATTATATGGTAATTGGAACTGAAGACATACATGATTTAGTTTGGAAAATGGAAAAATTGAACTGATTAAAGGATGTGATAAATTTAAATATTTAGGAACAAAAATTACTAATGATGGTCGGATGGAAATTGAAATTAGGGACAGAATTATGAAAGGAAGATCTATGATAAGAATGTTAAATGGATTCTTACGGGATAAACAAATCTTTAAAACAACAAAAATAAACATATATAAATCATTAGTTCTAAGTGTGATAACATATGGAGCAGAAGTGTGGGTATTAAATTCAACATTTAAATATAAATTAGAATCCACAGAAATGGACTTTTTGAGAAGATCCGTTCGATGTTCAAAACTAGATAAAGTTAGAAATGAGGATATTAGGAAAAATATGGATTGTCAAAACTCTATAGTTGATTGTATCCATAACAAACAATTAACTTGGTATGGCCATGTTCGGAGGACGGAAGAAGATAGACCACAGATATTGAAATGGATTCCGGCAGGCAGAAAGAGGAAAGGAAGGCCGCGGACTACATGGATAGAGGAAGTAACAAAAGCTATGGAGCACAAAGGATTGACAGAGGAAGATTGTCGAGACAGAACAGAATGGAGAAGAAAACTTTGGGCACAGGAAGATGCTTAAGCATTTTTAACCTTTAATATTATTATGTACTGTACATTAACGATGTTTTACATAAATATTTAAACAAGAAAAGCTATAAATAAACGATAACAAATTCGTTATATCACATGCGTTTTATTTCTCAGAAAGAACAATATTAATACATAGAAAAAAGAATTCTCATTCTCTATTTGTAATATAACTCCCGAAAAACATCTATCAATACATAAATGCCTGTCATAAAGCTTTTACTATATTTCTGGCAGTGGAGTACCGTAGTGGGGGCGGCAAGGGCGGCCCGCCTTGGGCGGCACTTTTTAGGGGGCGGCAAAATTTCACAATAAATAATAATAATATCTTGTAAAAATTTCAAGCATCCTAATCTATACTTGCATCGCGCCTATGACAGTGCTATCGTCTGGACAGTCTGGGAATCGGCTCGCCGGGTGAACTAGTAACTTTTTCATCCGAGAGATCCTGCGAAACCTGTTGACCTTTTTTTTTTCTTGTACCATTCATTCGCGTTCAAATACACTACTAATATGCAATAGAACTATTTTAAACATGTCGCTGCACTACCACCGAATTTTTCATTGCTTACTCTGTGACAAAACTGAATTTTAGTCTTTTAAATTGAAATACCTAAATAAGGGGGGCCGAAATTTTCCTCCTCCTCGGGCGTCTGACAGCCACGGTACGCCACTGATTTCTGGACATGCGGGTGGAATATCCGTTGCAATCAGTAGCTGTTAGTGTGTTAACAGATCGTTCGATGACTTGTATAAGATCCTGTTGTCTCGCATAAGTGTATCTAGTATTGACCTTGCTGCGTTTTTAATTTTGATAAAAGCTTCTTCAATAGAATTAAACACAAGAATTTGGCGGCAGAAATTTTAGAGCATGCATTCTTTCCACAACATATTCCTTTAATTTTCTAATTTTATGTATTTGCCCATTATCCATTATTAACCTTACATTGGACAAGTTTTCGTGAGCATCCAGATATTCTAGTATTTCAACAATGAACTCCTTAAAAGACTGAGATATTGTTAGTCTGTGTATTAATTAATTAATTAGTAGTGAACAATTGAAACTAAATTCACACTAGCAACCATTGTGACGTTCCGTTCTTTTATGGTTGGAACTCTTTGCAAACTTTTTTGTCCTACTGTAACTATTGTTTCATCTAAGATGAAGATTGAAACCACATTTATCGATAAATATTAATTTCAGGTGATCATTAGGTATATTTGCAGTGAAGTCATTCGCATATTCGTAACGGAATTCAATTGCATTTTGGCCTTTACTTTTATCCAATATTTGTAGCTCCTTTTTAGAGTAATACATAGCTGTATAGTTAAGACATGTATAGTTGCTAGAGACAACGTCACCTGATGTTATTCCTAGATGAAATTAGGAATAACTTTCAACGTTATATGCCCATTTTCCTTAATCTTCCTTTCAATATCCTTGACTATTGTAGATGTTATCTTTTTAAAATGTTTAATTGGTGATGTAGGCCTCTTGTCAATACCGTATCTAGTGTTCCTATATTTTGCAACCATGAGTCGAGCTGTATTGTAATTTAAGGACAGTTGTTGTCTAGCTTCTTTAATATTTAGTCATTTTCATCAATTAACTTCATCAAAAGATGTCATTTCTCATTACTTATTTTATGGTATGACATTTTCTACAAAGAATCGTTCAGTCCATTGCCTTCTGATGCTGACAAGAAATGCAAATGAAATCTGTCAACACGTTTTAATAAGCGCAAAAACTTATGAAATATTTTATTAGATAGATAAAATATGTTGATATTTTAAATTGATGGAATGTATATGAAAATTGTTGCTAAGATAAGATAGTAAATTAATGCTTTTTCAGTGAAAATAAGTCGAAAGTATTTGAGTTCTGTTGATAAGTCACGAAAATGCTTTAAATAAAAATAATTTATGGATAAGAAGAAAAAACATCGTCGTATAAAAAATATTACAATTAACAATACAAACGAGCTCATTTTAGTTAACTATAAAGACCAAGTGATGACAAGCTAGCGATTAAAGATATCTCTCGAACTGAAGTGGATCAAGCTTATCTTATTTTCAAAGAAAAAAAAATAAAGAGAGAACTTATTTTGTAGCTAGTAGAGAAGTTCTTGAACATTTTCTTAATTTCGTTCTCTTTTAAATCGCTATTATTTGCATTCCGTTTTCTTCTTTTTTCGGATGCTTTTACAAATTATCTAAATCGTTCTCCCTCCTCTCCACATTTCCCAGTTATTATTATGCTTATGTATCCACTTGAATTTTCATTGAATTCGTATTCGGAAAAGTAAATAAGTATTAGATATTTTAATCGATAACTGGTAGGATGAAATATTTGTCGATTTTTTTAATACGATTTTATAATTTTGCACGATGTCGAAGTCTTATCATCCGACTCATTCTCTTCTGTAAGCATTTTTGCCGCATTTTGATTAATAATCTTGATCAACAAAAATATAAAATTGTTGTGATTTGAGCTGGTATAAAACAAATTGCAAATTATTCTTTTCATTAATCAAATTTGTTTTTATGTACATTTTTTCGATATTGTTCACAATAACTATAGCGTATTATTAGTTTATCTTCGCTTAATTCGAATATAAAAAAAGACATAATAATACTTATTAAATTAATAGAGTTACAATAGACAAAAATTTAAGTTCTACAACTAAACTTACGGTATATTAAGTATATATTTACTGATTTTGCATTTATTTGCTAAAACAGCAAATTTTATAGAAGTGTGAACAAACTGTTTACAAAAATATAATTTAGGCATTAAAAGAGTACACATAAACGTTATTCTAATTAATAATTATTTCAATCGTTATATCAAAATGTAAAAAAAAACAAAAAAACTAAATATAAGTGTAAATGTATATGCTGTAGGCCTATATGAAATGTGTATAAGCGCTGTATATAGAGCCTTTTATTTTGAAAGTGGTGCAAGTCCATTTTGAAAGGAAATTATAACGATATCCGAATATTTTACTGAATAATTTAGCTCCTGTAAAATTTAGCAACACAATAAAAACGTAAAAGTTATGTAATATTCAGGTATTTTCCATTCGATACAAATAGTGTACATATAGGAGTGAAAAAAGTCATTTAAAATTCTCGAGTTATCACAACAACGAGGAAGATCGAGTAATCTCGAAAATAGAAAATTATCTTCTTTGTATAAAAAAAAAATAGGCCAATTACATCAAAAGAACGTAAAGACATGATAGATTTATTACTATATTTACAGTATCTCCTGTTTATCAAGAATACTTTAAAATATTAAACTCTAATATAAATACTGTATAAAGTAATTAATACATAATTAAATTTATGTAATTATCTATTTATTATATTTATATAATATAAAAATAAATAATTTAATCATATCACACCCCGATTCTATATGCAGTAAAGTAATCCCCCAGAGGATTACAACGATATTAAAATAGAAATTAGCAGCAAACTAAAAAATTATGTAAAAAACGAAAATAGAGAGAAGAAAATTACCGAAAAATCGTACTCCATCGATTCGGAATACTCCATCAAACACGCAGACGAACTTATACGTGACATGGAAAATATAAAAATGAGCAAAAATTACAGATTTGCAAGCCTAGATAAGTAAGCATGTGCCCTTCGATAACTAAAATCTAATAGAAAGTACACTAAAAAAGATTGAAACAGAGGAAGAAGAAATAGATTTAATAGAATTCGTATACAAAAGTAATTATTTGGAAGTCAACAATAAGTTCTACACACAACAAGCAGGCATAAGCATGGGATCAGTCATAGGCCCGAAGCTAGCCGAACTTGTTATGGTAGATATAGATCAAGCAATCAAAAAAATGACAGGCATAAAGTTCTATAAACGATATGTAGATGACATAATTATACTATATGACCAAGAAATAATAAAATTAGAAGAAATAGAAGAAAAAATAAACAAATTAAACGATAATATTAAATTCAAGGTAGAAAATGAGGCAAACACGGAAATAAATTACCTAGACATTAAAATAACCAGAAAAACAAACAAGATCGAATTCGAGCCATACACAAAACCGTGCGAGATTAGGAAAGTGTTAAACTACAATTCAAACATTCCGCAGTACATAAAAGAAAACATATTCATTATGCAGTATAAAAAAATCGAGAGCAGAACAAGGTCACTACAGAAGAAGAAAAAACATCTCAACGAACTGCGAACTAAATTTCTATTAAACGGCTCTCCAAAACGAATAATAAATAAATGAAAAGTAAAATCAACAATAAAAGGCGGAAAATAAACAAAACAAAGATAAAAACAGAGTAAAATACATAAATAAAAAGAGCCCTACATTCGTGGCTTCTTTGAACAGGTAAATAAAAGTTTCGATAAAATAAATATAAAACTAGCCCCAACTTATAACAACTTGCAAAAAAGAATCCGGAAGGCTAAACCTGGTATAAATAAACAACCAGACAAATACAACGCTACCGAAGTCGTTTATAAAATACCTTGCACATGCGAACCACCAAAAGTATACATTGGAGGAACAAAACGAAAATTAGAAACAAGATTAAAAGAACACATCGCGGATTTGAAATATAATAGAATCAACTCTGTTTTTTACGAACATTGCACAACTCACAACTGCAAAATAGATAAGGATGACGTTATAATAGTACACAAAAAAAAAATTGGCACAAAAGAAAATTTAAGGAGAGCTACGAAATTACTACAGACAAAAATAATATCAACAAGAATCTAAGCATTGAAATTCATAAAAACTGGTACAACTGTTAAAATAGAATGTTTATACAGTCGCAGGCGAGGCTGTGTGCGGAACTCTGGAAGTGAGACGTCACAAGTTATGAGGCATTTGGGGGAGGCCGTCAAGTCGAGAGGGAAGGGGAGTGGGAGGTACGAAAGATACTGTATACACAAGATACAACCTATCTATGTAACAGACTGAAGAGGAGCGAAAGTCCGAA